TTGAAATTATTTTAAATTGCATAAAAATGAATTGAAATTATTTTAAAATGCATAAAAATGAATTGAAATTGTTTTAAATTGCATAAAAATGAATTGAAATTATTTTAAAATGCATAAAATGAATTGAAATTATTTTAAATTGCATAAAAATGAATTGAAATTATTTTAAAATGCATAACAATGAATTGAAATTATTTTAAATTGCATAAAAATGAATTGAAATTATTTTAAAATGCCATAAAAATGAATTGAAATTATTTTAAAATGCATAAAAATGAATTGAAATTATTTTAAAATGCATAACAATGAATTGAAATTATTTTAAATTGCATAAAAATGAATTGAAATTATTTTAAAATGCATAACAATGAATTGAAATTATTTTAAATTGCATAAAATGAATTGAATTATTTTAAAATGCATAACAATGAATTGAAATTATTTTAAATTGCATAAAAATGAATTGAAATTATTTTAAAATGCATAAAAATGAATTGAAATTATTTTAAAATGCATAAAAATGAATTGAAATTATTTTAAATTGCATAAAAATGAATTGAAATTGTTTTAAATTGCAATTCGTTCCTTTTTTTTTTACTTTTTTACTAATTCAAATACTTTAACATTTCTGATTTCCAATAATAATACAATGCTAAGCGATCAAATGCATATTCAAAATGATCAAAATTTGTTTGAGTAATTTCAGCATGTTCAAATGACCAAATTGCCCAAAATAAATGAGGAAATGCTGCAAATTGACGTATTTCATTTAATAAATGATTGATTGAAATTTCACGATCAATCGATAAATCACGGATGCATTGAATTCTCTTTCCATTATTATCAACGCAAATCTAAAATATTTAACAAATGAAATTTTATTAAATTAAAATTTAAAAAAAAAATTTTTTTTTTAATTGTCTTTAATGTATACATAATTAATTTATATCATTTAAAAATAACAAATACTTATAAAAAATAATTTTTTGCATATTTATCCTTTACAAATCATATTGATACATTCCAATTGGTTATTATAAACCATTTAAATTTATTAACTATCTAAATTTATTAGTCATTTAAATTTATTAATCATTTAAATTTATTAACCATCTAAATTTATTAATCGTTTAAATTTATTAATCATTCAAATTATTAATCGTTTAAATTTATTAATCATTTAAATTGATATTTATTAATAAAATTCTCATTCATTTCTAATATTGTTAATTTAAATTTTAGTACCACAATTTATTACGATAATTTGTAAACGTTTTCTTTTTATTTAACATTTTAAATCTATTTTTGATGATTGTATTATTTTTATTGAAAATAATATTATACTTAAAATTAAACAGTAAATATTTTTGGTGACAATTAAATGACAACTAACTTTCATTGCCTCATCAATATAGGCACTAATATATAAACGTTGAATTGCTTCATTTGGCCATTGATTTTGTTTCACTTCATAGTAAGGCCATATGTTACCTTCGTTATGTAAACAACATTCGACACAGTAATGACATAAATGAAAACCACTAAAAAAAAAAAAAAAAAAAATATTTTTGATTATTTATAAATTATTTTAAAAAAAAAACTTTTAAAATAGGTAAAATAACTGTTGATTCTTTCAAAAAATAAACGTTAATTATTAATAGGTAAAAAGTTTGTTATTATTATTTATTATTTTAAAGGTACATTATTATGTATTTTTATTGTTAACTATTAAAATTATCCTTTTAAAAAAAATAGTTTAAAAAAATACTTTTAAAGTATTTTTTTAAAAAAAATATTTAAAAAAATAAAAAAAATTTTTATTTAATTATTATTTATTAATAATTCTTGCAAGAATAAACTAACAGGTAAAAAATTTCCTTCCAAAACTTTTATGAATTAATGCAAAGTTGTATTTAAAGAAAAAAATACGTTCAGAATTATTTACTTCATTTCATTTTAGTTTAGCAAAAAAAAT